AGACTGCTCACGGGGAGGAAAGAACAGAAGCTAAGGATGGGGACGCGGTTAGGGGTGCCGTCTTCGAGTCTGGCGGCTCGCCCGGGACCAACGCTCGAGCCTCCGCCCCTCGGACGGGATCCGGAGAGCGCGCGTACCACCGCGTCGGCGGGCAGCGGAGCTGGCGGGAGCGGCACGACCGACGGCGGCGACGCGGGAGACCGGTGCGGTCGCAGCGCTGCAGAGTTGCAGCACCCCACGACCGCATCGACTGAGCGCATCGCCATGCGCGAGAGGAGGAAGTGCGGGTGCATGCCCGGGCCGTGAGGGCTGGCTGAAGCGCCGCTCGGGCGGCCGCCATCATGCGAGAGAGAAGCGGCCTCGTTCACAACTCTCAAGAACCACCTTAATAACCCACCCATTACGTCATACGGCTCGTTCGGGGACCGGACACCCCCGTGCTGCCGGTGCCGTGGCCGGCACCGGTCGAGCACCCTCCGCGGCGCACTTCCATGTGATCATTCTCCCGAGTCGCGGGTGGCGGGCTTGGGGTCAGGGGTGCGGTCGCCCGCTCCACCTCTGTGCCGGCCTCCTGGCGTCCGACGACGCGCACCTTAAACTCACTGTCTTCAGACTGTCACAACAAACCCACACCAAATGATCGCTACCACCCCTGCATGAGCCGTCGCACGTGCGCTGCGTCCTTCGCTCGCTTCTTCTTCTCGGTCCCGCCGACGAGCGTCCGCCCCTGCAGCTGCGAGGCGACCCACGCGTGGAACAGAGGCTGCGATGCGAGCCAAACGCGGTAGCGGCTCGCGCCTGCGATTCGTGGCCAGGGGGGCGTGAAGAGCGCTCGAACGCGTCCCCAGCCACCCGCGGCGGGCGGCTCGCGCCCAGCTCCGCTGGGTCGGATACGAACGGCGTCTCAAAGGGATGGTGCAGCCGCTGCTTGAAGCCGACGGCGGAGCCTGACGGCTGGGGACGTGGCGCGGACATGTCATGGGCACAAGTCGCTCGGGCCACGGCCGGGACCCACCCTCCCCTACCCCATGTTATGCGAACCCACCCTCCCCTACCCCATGGTACCCGAGGCAACCACCCCCTACCCCACGGTACCCGAACCCACTGGCCACGGCAGGGACGCGTCGTGTGTGCGGCGCCTTGGGCGTGTGGTCCACGGCCGACGTCAAGCCGACAAAGATGGGCTGTGACAGCGGCGGCGGAACCGGCGGACCGAGGCAGGCGCCCGAGGCGGCGGAGGCGGCGGAGGCGGCGGAGGCGGCGGAGGCGGCGGCGGCGGCGGCAAAGGACGACGTCCCGAACGCGCGGCTGGCAGTGTGCCACGCCTGGCCTCCCTCGCCGCCCTCGGGTGGCGGGACCACCGACGTGCGAGCCCGGAAGGTGAGGTTGATTCGCACGCCGGGCGCCTCGGCGGGCAACACCTACCACACCACCGACGGGAGGGAACCCACACTGGATTCGGTGCTCTGGAGGTGCGGTGCCAGGCGCGCAACACCCGGCGTGCACGCGCGCATCGCTCACTCACGGCACGCTCAAGAGTTGGGGCAAGAACGACAAGGGCCGACTGGACGACTGACATCCCGTCGGCGGCGCCGTTGCCGAAATCTCGCCCGGAGATCCGCGCACGTGCATGCGGTCCCCCGGCGCTTACTGGGCGAGGCGACATGCCTGCCCTTCTCTCCCCGTCTCCACGGGCGGTGTGGGTGCGCGCGGCGTGGGGGGTCGGCGGCGAGCAGCTGGCAGGCAGTCTCCACCACTCTCTCCATCCCTGTGACTGAGGGGCCTCCGTGGCTCTCACCGAGTGGTGGTAGAGCAGCTGGCAGGCATTCTCCATCACTGTGAGCGAGCCGTGCGCTAAGTGCAGCGGGGGCAGCGGCGAGTCCACGTCCGACTTGAGCCGCAGACCTAGAAGGTTCCTAGAAGGTTCCTAGAAGGTTCGTAGAAGGCGAGTCCACGTCCGACTTGAGCCGCAGACCTAGAAGGTTCCCAGAAGGTTCCTAGAAGGTTCGTAGAAGGCGAGTCCACGTCCGACTTGAGCCGCAGACCTTCACTCATAGCGATTGAATTCAGAGGAACGAACTGCTGGTTGGGTGCACGGCCGACTGGAGCCGCCGACCGAAGCGACGCGTGGCGCCGAGAGAGATCGAGGCGATCGGCGAGGTGCGTGGCGCGCCGAGAGCCGGGTCCATCTCCTGGCGAGGCGAGAGCTCGGTGCTGTGGCGGGTCCGCCGCGGAAGTTGAGAGCGCGGCGGGCGGTGCACAAATCGTGCGCGGACGAGAGGGCGTGTGCGCGCGGCGGGACATCAGCGGGTCGGGGAGGGAGGGAAGGGGGGGGGGCAGGCGGGCAGGAGAGCTCCTCGCGGTCGCTGTGCCACCCGAGCACGTCCTCCTCGCCGTACTTATTGAGCAGGCAGACGGCAAACTCGACCGCGAGGCCGGTGGTGTGCAAGTGCCACGCCTCCGCCTTGGCCTGCGGCGGAGGTGTGCGGCGGAGGTGTGCGGCGGAGGTGTGCGGCGGAGGTGTGTGTGCTGCCGGCAACGGGGCGCTTGCGAGGCGCTCTGGCCGCAAAATGGGTGCTGTTGCCGAGAGAGCGGGCCTTGGTGGCGGCGCCTTGAGCTCGAGCAACTCCGTCGTCCACGGGTGCATCTCGTCCGAGGCGTACCCGACGGCAGGCAGGTTGAGGCTGTCTGCGCGGCGCGGGCCGTGGTATTGCACGGTGGGATTGCCATACAGGGCGGTCGGGCGGCGTGAGACGGCGGAGCTGGCCCACTGAATGGCCGAGCCGCTGAAGAGGTCGTAGTACGCGTCCGCCTCTGCACGGCTCAGAAAGGCCGGGTCGTAGTACACGCACGGAATGGGCAGCGGGACGGCGTAAGAGAGCGCTGCGGCCGCCGCAGATGCTTCCGCTGAGAGCGCCGCTGCGGCCATCCGCTTCGCCTTCTTCTTGCCGTTGTCCCTCTTCTTCTTCTTTGGCTTGGCCTTGCGCGGACCCGGCGTCGCCGGAGCCGTCGGCAGCCTCCTCTCCTCGACCTTGCCCATCGAAATGCGTCGAGCTGAGAGACGTACAGCGAGAATTTGGAGGATATGGGTGCGCGGAGCGCGGCAAAAGAGAGAAACAATAATGGGACGGAAGTCAAGGGACACTGCGAAGAGAGATAGGAAGAGGCAGACTCCCTAGGGTGGGCGACGGCTAGCGCATCACACACCTCTCCTTATTAAATCCCTGTGTGGTGGCGGCGTGCCGTCCTCCCCCAGCATCCCTCCCTTGGGGTGTCTGTTTTCTTTCTTTCTTTCTTTTTAAGGGACACTCCCTGATCGTCCTTACAAGAAGATCCTGCTCGCGCAGGTGGGGACCCTGTCCTTCTCCCACCCCTTGTTTGGTGTGTCCGTTTTATTTATTTATTTATTTAAGGGACACTCTTCATTTATTTGAAGAATCAAAAGCGCAAAAGAAAACATCCGGCCTATTGTTTTCCCACTTGACAGACGGCAGCGGCGTCTCAGAACGAGGCCGAGGAGAGCAATGAGTCAGAGGATGAAACAGCAGGAGAAAGAACGAGGACGAGAGTGGGAAGAACGCGAGGTGGCATGAAGGTCGCTGCGAGAATTGGTGAGAAACTGCGAAGAGAGATAGGAAGTGGTAGACGCCCGAGGGTGGGCGACGGCTAGCACCACACCTCTCGCTGTCTTCGCACGAAAATCACAAGGCGCCAAAACGGGGGGGTCCGAATAAGATACATCTTGCACACACTATGATTGGGCGTCTTCTGCGGCGCAGTCCCTTTGATGGGAGGCCCCCAGCGCCCAGGGTGGAGGGTGGGGGCCGCCTCGTCGAACCCCTAAGCTAGCCAGGGTTTCGAGCGGAGGGTGCCCCGGATTCATCTATCCGTTGGGCCCCGGTACCTGCATTAGAACTGATCATCGAATAAATAAATAAAAACGCACACCTCTCTACTGTGAGATCGCAAGGGCGGGGGCCTGTTCCTTTTTACCCATCTCACAGTAGAGAGGTGTCCGTTTTTATTTATTTATTTGAGGGCGAACAAGATGTGGGGGCGCACTGGGGGGTTCCACGCACCGCGTGGCGGCCCGTTTTCAAACGTGCTCACGGCGTCACGGGCCCCGCTCTCGTCACACATACGGCGCGGAACAGTTAGGCTCCACGCCAGCATCTCTTGTGCGCTGTGGACTCGCGGTTATGGACCAAGGGAGAGGGGCGTGTGGCCAACTGATGGCCATCACGGGAATGGCTCACTGTGCCGCGGGACGCACTCGCATTGGTCAACAGGTCGGGTGGAGAAGAGCATCTGGCGGCCCGCCACGGGGCACGAGCAGGTGCCGAGCCCGCCGATGGCGCACTCCTCGCCGTCAGTGCGAACGCTGCACTGTGAGACTACATCATTTGTGCACGGCCCGCCGGCGAGACCTGCGAGGAGCGGGTTTACGTAGAGCAATCCGTCCGGATTGTACTTGCAGCGGACCTGCTTCAGCTTGTTGATCCAAAAGTCGGTCGAGAGTTCTGCGAGACTTGGAGAGGGAGTCCAAAATGCCGAGGCGCTTTTCAGGGAGTTGACTCCGGCGTAGAACTGCGCAAACTCTCGGCGGACGGAACTTGAGCAACTCGCGAACCGTGAGCGACGCGTCCTCCTCGGGGGCCAGCGCTTCGCACACAACGAGCGGCCACGCCTGGTACATCTTGCTAAACGACATGCGGAGCTGGCCGTAGAGAGAGCTGTTCGAGGCGTACACCTTTAGCCCTGCCTCACGGCACGCCAACGCGGCATCCTCGTCCTGTACCTGTACAGCGGAGGCGAGCCCGACGACGAGAAGAGAGGCAAGACCTTTCATGATCCGCCGAGACAGTCTCCCGATTGCACCTGCAGGTAGAAAGCAGTTTAGACACCCAGGGAGGCGTGTGTGGTGTGGGGTCGCCGGCTGGGAGCGGTTTAGTAAGGGCGTCTACGCCCTTAGGTTTAGGCTGCGGTGGGGACCGCGATGGACGGTCCCCCGACTCAGTCGAGGGAGGTGGGCGCGCTGGGTCCGTCCGCACCTACTCTACCCTGGTTCGGTCGGGGTCAGGGGCACGCGCACCTGCGGTGCTCCCGGATACCCGGAGCTCCCGGATACCCGGAGCGGAGCGCGGTTTCGTTTGATGAGCGCTTCATTTGGTGTCAAAGCGGCGGGCACTAAAAAATCGTAGCGCGCACCGCCTCGGTATACAAAATCCTCCCAGGGTTGTCTGTTTTCTTTCTTTTTACAAAATGCGCCTGCGGGCGGACCCTCACAGATCAACTGGCGCGCACTGCAAAAAGAGAAAATGCGCACAAGTCAACAACAGTCAACACATGACAAGCGATCCCAACAGCGATTGTGGGGACTACATGATTCGTTTGGGAGAGAGAGATTTTTAGCAATACCAATACCAAACAACTCACAGAGAGATTTTTAGCAAACAACTCAACAAACATGCCATTGTTTCATAACATCGATGGAAGGCTACAGTCTGTTGCGGGCATTAAGAAAGCGTCCCATTAAGAAATCCTACCAAGCAATTTCCGCGAAAATCTAAGAAACCACGGCGCGCCGCAGGCGCGGCCCCAAGAAAGAAAGGGCCCACACACGAGTGTGAACAGGAGCCCCGCTCAAATTTTCTCTTCGCCTGCGGCGCGCGCACTTGTCATTTTGCCCAAGTCTGCGGTGTTCTGGGCGGTGTGGATGGAGGTGTGTGCGTCTTCCTGTCATCCCAAGACTGCTGACTGGCGCATCGAGCGCTTCCTTATTGTCATTTTACCTAAAAATTCCTAGATCCCGGCTGACCTGGGGTGCCGGCCGAAGCTAAGAAAACACGGCGTGGGGTGGGTGGGGTGGGTGGAAAGGCTTAGAAACGGCGGCGTGCCGCGGGATCCTGTTTATCTTAATGCCCGCAACAGACTGTAAGCTCAAAACTAAAAACAAAAGGGAGCGGGGGGCGCCCAGTAGGGCGCCGGCGCCCCAGCGTAGCTGCAGGGCCTCGTGTCGCCCTCCTTTTGGTTTAAAAAAAAATAAACCACGACGAGGCCGCTCCCGCCGCCGCCTCGCCCGAGCAAGCGCCGCCCGCACCGCCCGCGGCCGCCTCACCACAATGCCCTCCACACGGCAGCAGCCCGCGGCGGAGGCCGCGCGCTCGCCAGACTTCTCCTCGCTCCCGGACGAGATCCTGCTCAACGTCGTCGGTGGCGCATCCGGCTCGGCTCGCAAGCTCACCTATGCGTCGCTGTTTGCCTTTGGCGCCTCCTGCAAGACGTTGCAACGAATCACGAACGATGGCCGCTTGTGGCAGCATATCAAGTTTCTGAGCAAGAAATCACGCCACAAGCTGTCCGACGCCCAGCTCCGAGCGCTCCTGACGCGTGTGGACGCCCGCTCCCACACGAAGTCCATCTCGCTCAGAGGCTGCGTCTCGGTCACGGGGAGCGGGCTGTCCCCGCTGCAGGGCTCTGTCGCGCTGCTCTCCGCCGATCTGCGGCGCGCATCCTCCGAGCACAGGCACCCTCGCGCCCTCGATGGCGGAGAGGTGGCGCGGATCGTGAAGCCGATGGCCCAGCTCGCAGAGCTGTTGTTGGACTGGGTGGACGCGAGCAGGCCCCACTTTGTCGTCGCAAGCCAAGGGGACATGACCCGAAACAATATGTGCGACAGCTGCGTCGATGTGATCAACCCTACAAAGATCGTGAGGACGAAGCCATGCAAATGCTGCGAGATGTACTTCTGCGCGTCGTGCAGAGCGGCGCACTGGAGCACGTGCGAACGGTGCAAGCGGCGCAAGCGCTGCCTGCCTTGCCTAGAGTACAATGCCGAGGACCAGGTGTGGGACGACCACGGCAGACTGTGCGAACGCTGCTCCGAGGAGGCTGAGGAGATCGAAGATGATCCTTTTAGAGCCGTACTCTGACACGATTGGTGACTCTTTCTTGACTCCTTCCTCCTCGTTACCGGGGGGCTCTATGTGCGCACGCAGGCAGAGTCGACGTAGTGGTACCGTAGTCAAAGTATTCCACACGGGTATATGGGACATACACGAGTCTCGAGGAGTTTTGTTACGTACAGAGCTTTCTCGCAATACTCAAAAGCTCGCCCCGAGGGGCGCCCCATCCGCGTCTCCCAGCCAGACCGAGCCGCTCACGGCGCCCACCGGCAGGCCGTACCGCAGCAGCGTCACGCGGAAGGGCAGCGGCGCGCCCGGCAGCAAGCCGTCCAGCGGCACCGCGCCCTGCCCGAGCAGCGCGCCGGACGAGTGCTTCTTCACCTCGCCGTCCCTCTTGCAGCGACCGGACCGCAGCGCGAGGAGCAGTGGCCGCCGCCGCAGCTGCGCGGGCCGCACGGCAAACGTCCGGGCCGGCGCCGCGTTTGGCTCGAACCGGATCGGCGAGTCGGCAGACCAGCCGCCGCGCGCCTCGGCGGCGCTCTCCTTGCGCGGCTGGTCGAGCAGCTCGCCGTGGAGGGAGAGGGAGAGCGGCACCGCCTCGTCGGCAAGCGCGGCTGCGAGCAGCGCGGCGCAGGCGGCGCCCGACAGCTGCAGCTCCACATCCTCCAGGCGCAGAGTCAGCGCCTCCGAAGCGCGGTCGGGCTGCTCAAAGGCGCGCGCCACGCCTCTGCCCGCGCCCGATGCCACCGCGCGAGCGTCCGCTAGCGCGCGCCGACGGCCGTGCGGCGCCGCGGAATCCTCCGCGAAGTGTGCAAGCGTGCCCGCGCAGCTCGCCCCTCGGCTGGCCAGCTCAGTCCGCCCCTCGTCCGCACGGCACGGAGAGCAGGGAGGGCACTCGGCATCGTGTGCGTCGGCGGCGGAGGGGGCGACCTCGAAGGCTGCTCGCAGCGGCGTGTGGTCCTAGAAGCAGAATACGCCAACCTCAGGGCGCGAGTACGGTGTTGTGCAGCGCCTTCAGAGCACCGCGTGAAGACAACGGAGAGGAGGACAGTGAATACAGCGGAGTGCGGGTGAAGACAGCGGAGTGCGTGTCCTCTCGGGCGCCAGTTGGAGTACAAGAACCCGTACTCAGCTT